AAATATCGACGACTTCTTGCGCATCACAATTTCAGCTTTTCTCTCTTCGAACGTGTCAAGGATCTGCGCCTTTCGAAATGTGTTTGTTGTAAGCTCCTTCTCAACACGACTCCTCTCACGATCAACTATCATTTGTAACACTTTATTTCGAAATGTTACAATACTGTCACCATCACGTTCACACGCACTCCCCGCTGACTTCAACAAGTCGACGACATCAACTAACACTGCAACGGTCTTCTTGATCGCACGTGAAAACTTGACGCAATTCTCTTCACTCTTCTCTTCATTCAACACACACTCATTTAACACAGCTATTGCACTATCTTCATCTAATGTGTCGATGTTGTGTGGAAACGTCAGTTGTGCCGTTGTGATGTGTTCTTCCATCGAGTGTTGAAGTGTCATTATCAGTGCGTTGACGTCGGGGAGGTCATTGCGAATGAACGTGTACGCGTCATTTGTAGTGTTTGTCTGTTGTGCGCTCATCAGAATTTTTTCACTCGGAATTTTCAAGTTGGTCGTCTTTCGCTTTTTTCATCTTTTGAAAATCAAAACCAAAAATTAAAAAAATCGGCAAAGTCAACTCTTTTCTGAGTAATTCGATTTAATCACATTCGTTTTCTTTTTCTATTTTGAAACTTTTTCTTTTATTTAAATCTTTTTAATAAATAAAACTTCTCTTTTTCTTCTCTTTTTTTTGATTATAATATTATATAGTTCATAATAATTTAGATATGATATATACAACAACTTAACAGAAACAATAAGAGTAAGAAAAATAAACCTTAACCCAAAGAAATTTATATATTTTTCTTTAAAAACACGGGTTTTTACTCAAAAAACAAATATTTTAGAAATTTGACTTTTATATAAGTATAGTTTATTAGTTTAATATAACAATTGTAAATAATTAGTTTTTTAAACTAAGGTTAATTTGATGGGCGAAGGGTTAATGGCCAAACTGTAATTATAATTGTTTATTATTGCCCCAAACACTTAAATAAAACAAGAGATATATTTTACAGTAGGAGGAAATAAAGGGATGCCAGAGAAAGGAGGATGCTCGCAACTATTGGTTATTTTCAATTCAAAATAACTAATAATATAAAAAAATAAATTTATTTTTAGATTAGCATCCTCTTTTTTCACAGCATCCCTTTATTTCCTCTTTCTGTAATTACATTCCAAAACACCGAAAGAATTTAATAAATAGCATACAAAGATCCATTTTGCTCGTATTTCTACATCGTATAAATAGATTATTGTGTTATTTATCAATAATAAATACAAAATATATAAATAGAAAGAATAAACAATATATAATGCAAGAATTTGAATATCAAACACATCAATTAAAGTATGGCGACACCAAGTTAATCTTACATGGTAATTATCTCGGACTATTTATGTGTTAGACTAAATGGGGTCAATAAAAAGCATCGAAGTTTGAATATCGAAAAGGATGAAAATATATATGCCAACTCTTATAAAAACGATACACATGATTAATACTAAACATATTTAAATACAACAACATATGTGGTGTCTCTATTAAAATTACAATAGAATTTACTTAAATACTCTTTTCCATGTGGTAATATTAATACATTCAATGAATTGTTACTCAAATTCGTTACAACATACGAAGAATTAAATTCAATAACAAATCCACATTATCAAAGGCGTCAAAAATATGAAACAGCACCAACACAGAACTCTCTCTTGTCTTTATCCTTACCAAAAGCAAACTAAACGCCTATTTCCATTTGGTCAAAATATTATTTCCATTATCAATATAAAAGTTGTTTCTTCTTTATTAAACATCGATCATCTTAACCAAATAGCATGTAAACAAACGTAACGCCGGCTCGAAAATGTAATTTTTTACAATGGGTCGGCAAACAATGTAATCGAAAATATATCCTCTTGAAATGTGTATTGCCATTGTAACTCTTTTATTGATATAAAAGAGTCCCTCTTTGTTGTACAAATTAAATTAGACTGCCGAAAAAATGAGTGATTAAATAAATAAGTTGATAGCGCTTATACGGTAACAAATATTACAGTCTAGCAACAAAATATAGAGGTATGAGCGCTTCTATTTATAATAATATATTATTATAAATATGATACGGAGTATTACAGAAAGAAAAGGGAGAGATATGAGATATGAAGAAAAAAGTCGCTTGGATATTATTGATTGATTACATTGTTTATTTCTTATTGTTTTTTAATAAAAAATAATAGTAACAAAAACAATAATAATAAAGTTTTTTGTATTGTTATATTCAAAGTTTCCATTTTTATTTTTTGTTTGTACTTATTTAATAAAAGTTTTTATGTAAAGTGACTTCCCCAAGGTGTGCAAGTTAAAATATTTAGTCTTTTTTACAGGGAAAGGGCGTGCAAGACTCAATTTTAGTTCAAAAACATTTTATTAAAAAATGTTATTCATTTCCAAATTGTTTCAAAAAACACACAACCCTTTGGTGCTTGAATTAATAAACTACAAAAAGCAAATTAAATTATAAAAATTGGGTAATGGTTTGTTTATGTGTTTAATGTAAAAACAATTTTGTTTCAAGACGTGAATAAATGTCGATGTCTCTTGTGTTAGCGTAATTCAAAGCGACAAGAAGAAGTATGATAAACATTATGTTTTTCTCTGTGCCGTTTTATAGCAAACAATAACAAATAGTCTGTTTAATAGGTGCAGTTCGTTGTTACAAATCGATGTGTGCTGTTGTCCAGAACTGGTCCTTCGATAATTTCCATTGGGTCGCTTTCCCGAAATTGTTGCTTAATTAATTGTATTCGAAGTGTGAAAGTTAAAAATTGCAACGTCACAAAGTGTGCAAGTTAAAGTATAGTTTAGTAATAACTTCAAAATTATAATTAATAATTAAACTAAAAATAATCTTTTTTTTTCAAAATTTCAAAAAATTAATGGTTCTATTTTTTTAATAAAAAAATTATAAATGAACTATACCTTAACTTGCACACCTTGGGAAGTCACTTTACATCACAATTATCAACATAAATTATATTTCAATCACTTTGTTAAAGTTCATTCAAAAAATTTGATACAATCTCCGAAATTTTTTATAAAAAATGAGAGGCCAACAGTTACACATTGTAAAAATACAGGTTTGTACTCTAAGTCATAATAACTTTAATAACAAATAGATTATCACGTTCAATTGATAAACATATTGGTAAATGTTTTAATTTTGATTTCAGTAAGATAGTAAGTTAGGGAATTTTTACTAAATTATTGATGTGCAGTTTTAATGAGAATCAACACACATTTTAATTGGTACGATAAAAGTAATTGTTAATAAAATGATTGTTTGACCTAACTTATTCCAAGTAACAATTTTAAATAAAGTGACTTCCCAAGGTGTGCAAGTTAGTTTAAAGGTGTGCAAGTTAAGGTATAGTTCATTTATAATTTTTTTATTAAAAAAATAGAACCATTAATTTTTTGAAATTTTGAAAAAAAAAGATTATTTTTAGTTTAATTATTAATTATAATTTTGAAGTTATTACTAAACTATACTTTAACTTGCACACTTTGTGACGTTGCAATTTTTAACTTTCACACTTCGAATACAATTAATTAAGCAACAATTTCGGGAAAGCGACCCAATGGAAATTATCGAAGGACCAGTTCTGGACAACAGCACACATCGATTTGTAACAACGAACTGCACCTATTAAACAGACTATTTGTTATTGTTTGCTATAAAACGGCACAGAGAAAAACATAATGTTTATCATACTTCTTCTTGTCGCTTTGAATTACGCTAACACAAGAGACATCGACATTTATTCACGTCTTGAAACAAAATTGTTTTTACATTAAACACATAAACAAACCATTACCCAATTTTTATAATTTAATTTGCTTTTTGTAGTTTATTAATTCAAGCACCAAAGGGTTGTGTGTTTTTTGAAACAATTTGGAAATGAATAACATTTTTTAATAAAATGTTTTTGAACTAAAATTGAGTCTTGCACGCCCTTTCCCTGTAAAAAAGACTAAATATTTTAACTTGCACACCTTGGGGAAGTCACTTTATGTTACTCTGATTGTGTTTTTTTATTAATATAACCCAATTATAATCATCAAGTTTTCTTTAATAAGTTATAAGATTTTTAAAAATTAATTGAACTAAGATATTCGCTACATATATGAAAGAATCAAGCAACTGCTTTTTAATAATAATTATTCAAATGATTCCATTAAAAAGAATATTGAACATCAAATTAAAAATAAAATAAAAATTATTTTTAAAAAATTAAACATTAATGAACACAATTGATTGTGAATTATTAAACTATATTTCTTTTTTTTAATAAAACAAAAATATTTTTAATAAATGTAGTTAATTGAAAATTATATATTGTCATTGTACTCTAGGATTATATAAAATTGTACGATTAAAAAACATAAAAAACGTTAAGATATTGAAAATATTAAAAAGTGTAAATATATTCTTGATTTTATTTTGATATTAAAACAATGATTTTTATTGTTATGATCATTTATTTGTACTTTAAATCAACTATTTGATCAATATAACAGGATAATAAAACATCATAATAGTAATTTGTGTTGTGATAGATAATCATATTTAAATAAACAACAATAAACTTATTTTATTGTTTATTTAATATAAAAAATTATTTTTTTGAATTAATGATATTTTTAATTAAATTGTTAAATTAACACAATTAAAAAACAGTAAAACCTGCTAAAAGTAATGCCTATGAACAGTGGTTTCAAAGGTTTTTTGTTGTAAATTCCAATTTTTAATACAAAAATTACAATACATTCCTGCTCTTGACAAATTTGTATGTATACAAATTATCACAAAGTATTTAAATATGTGTC